CAAAAATTAACATATAAAATATGTTAATTTTTAATAATTTAAAATTATTCGTATAGAGCTAATCAAGAGCTAAAGGATTCACTATTTGTCAAAATAAAAAAATGTTTTGGCACTCGTTTTTTTTTAACTCAAAAACGTACGAATGTCACATTCGCCACTAGAGAATTGCCCATATATAAGAAAAAAAAAATTAGGTTCCGTAGAGTTTGTATTCATCGTCGATTCTCTTATCTTAAATATTCTAGTTCAATTCGAAAATGCAAGTATTTACAATTGTGATTATCTATTTTGGCTGTTCATTTCTCTATCTAAGTTCACGTAAGCATCCTTATAAAAGGCTTAAGGTACAATCTATAAACTCTAAGATCTGTGGCAAATCATTCGAAATTTTAACAGATGCGAAAAACCGATATTCAAATATATGCGCTGACTGCCCAATGTTGGAAAATTGTACAGTAAACGAAACTTTTATCGATTCCATGGAAAAGCAAGATAAAAGAAAAATAGTGCATAAGAAACACGGAGGTGAACCGGCTCCAGAGTTGGAAAAGTGCCTGAATCCCGGTTTCACAATATCTGGTAATTTCGCATTTTTAAATGCATATGAATAAATAATTAAGCAAATAAATATGGTTTATTTACATATATATTTTTAATTTTCATTTTGTAAACTACGATATTTTAGGCGAATTGTCGGATATTGTATGCTCTGGTAGCACTGATGGCAAATGTCATCCAATCTTTCCACCCTCCGATGTGAATAATAGCACAGCCTGCGAGACATGCAAGGTCCTGTGCGATTGCTCTGGAGCTTTTACTATCGCAAAAGGTCTACTTGATAATTATTTTATATTCATAACAGCATTTTTTGGCATGACAAACAGCATGGCATAATTTCACATTGTGAACAGCATCAAAACAAGAATATTTAGTAAAGTCTGACCATTTGAAGTATGAGTAAGTGAATATCAGAACAATTATGAAAGCTTTAGTCCGACTCGGAGATGCCCTGAACTCTGAATGATCTAAGTTTTTAATTTTAGTAATGTAAAAAAAAAAAAATAATAAGAATAATAATAAAAATTGATAGATAATCAAAGCTCTTAAAAAATAAAACAAAACCAAAAAATAAGCCGAGACTACTTGACTAAGAGATCCCATGAACCCTTAGAGAAACTGATATTTCAATAATTATTTACTTCTGGGGATGGGGATCAACATACCAAACAAAAAACTAAAGCTGCCAATTCAAATAAAAATCGATAGGAATAGCTATCGATTTTTAGAAACAAACTCGATCTGTGCAATTCAACTCAGATCGTCGCCCTGATCAAGAATATATATGTATACCGTATGCGGTCTGTATGCAAGTCGGGTTATTTATAAGCAGTCTTCACTGTAATTATATTGCTGTCATGCCAGCCGAATGACAACATTCTCTAACAAATGCTGACGGAGCGAACAAGCGAGCACTTCTCTCGCCCAGCTCTCGCATAGCGTCGCTGCTTGTTGCTGTTGCCTTGAGTTCTTCTTCTTGTTCTTGTGGCATCGCCTGCCGTGTCCTGTCATTCGCGCATGCAATCCTCACACACACAAACACACACACACACACGCAGGCAGGCAATGCATTGAAGCGCAAATTAAGCTTGACAAGCAAAAATTAAACTGTGCATTTGTATAGCATGTGAGATTGTATCTGTATCTATGCGTGACACACTCCCCCCACATTCTTTGTATCTGTACTGCTCTGGGCTGTTGCCTGTTGGCTGCTGGCTGTTGGCTTGCCTGGGCAAAATATAATTTCCTCATGTACAGTTCATTAAACAGAGCTAACCAAGTTGCAGGCAGCACTTGGCATGGCCTCCTATATATGTATGTGTATGCCAAATAAATATGCAAACCAACGAAAAGAAGTGAGAGAGCAAAAAAAAAAAAAAACAAAAAACAATAAAGATGAAAATACGAAAATATTTCCGAAAGGACTAATGGAAATGAGAAGAAAGATTTTGATATTGCTTTTCCCAGCAGAACTCTTAAAAGTAGGAAACTGTTATGACATGTGAAGGGGGAACACATTCGAATAGTTAAAAAGCTGTTCAAATCATTGAGCAATATAAGAATAAGAAGTCATTTAATTCCGTTTCTTAAGCTAAGTCTTCTCTATTTCTCTCTTCACTTCTCTTTTGTTTTGATCTCTGTTCCATTCCTTCCGTTTATTTATAAGCTTTCCTGCTTTCCTGTCTTCTATACTCGGTGCTCTTCTCTTCTTTTTACTCTTAACTATATTGTTCCGGCATTTCGTTTTTATGTTTCTTATTCTTTTAATACTATTATATGTAATACTTATATTTTGCCACACAGCACGAATTTACGAATATTGCCACAGTTCAATTATCTACAGCTGAGCGGCTTATGTGTATTTCAATCATAAAATCCTGGCATGCATTCCAATTAACAGCAACAGATCGAAATAATGCTGTTTGCCTGCGGCCTGCGAATGTAATAAACCAAATGCGAAACAATTTATTATCCATATGAGGCAATATTTAATGAGTTATAGTATGATGCGGCTTTATTGAATAGCTTGCTTATTGAATTAGAATGCAGATATAAATACCATATACATATGTGTATAAATATATAGATATATATTAAGTGTGTGTGTGTGTGTGTGTGTGTATCACACATCATTGATTCATGTTGTGCAATGCGCTTAAAACAATAGAGACATAAATTTTAGCTTAGCAGCAGAGAAAAGCAATTCATACTCGCGTCATAAATAAAAACCACTGCAACATAATTTTTATGTTTAGAAGAAAAACAAAATGAAAAGAGAAGAAAAAATGACAAAGGATAAGCTGTTAGACGCGTCAAAGGACGCTTTTGTTTGTGCATTGGGCGGGGTCATAGGCGTCAAAGCACTTAACCGCTAGACACAAAGACAAAGTCCCACTCTTAATGCAGAGTTTGAACCTCGTACCCTCTTGGCTCAAATCGAATGCTCAACAATGACAGCCATAAAACGTCTAGTCGTTGGTTTTCTGTTTTATTTTCGCTCACTGTCTCTCTCACTCTCTTCCAGACCTGACCAAATCAAGCACTGCTGCTAGTCCATAGATTTATTTGCCTGTTTTTTCTTTATTTCTTTTTTTTTTTCCCCAATTTGACATTGAAGCACATTAACTTTGACATTCGCGTGAGTCTTCCACGCTCTGCACCACAATGATTATGACTCTTGAGAGTTTTTTGGGCCACTCTTTCTCTCGCTTTATATAAGGAATTTCTTCTCTTTTTTTGTGGGCATGACTTTTGTACTTTGGCCAAAGTTGGGGAAATTAATATTAGCGACTCGAGCAAATACTTTTCAAATTATTGCAATCTCATCGCATTCTTATCACTGCAGCTGTTGAAGTTACAAACTAAGTGCCTTGCATGACGCGGAATTAATATCAAAAATAGCTCACGATAAAATCGCTCACGCAATTCTTTTGGCCTTTCGAGTGTAGCTGAATCGCATGAGCATCAAAACTTTCTACTAAATGTTGTTTATTTTAACTTCATTAACAATCATCCTCCATCAAGTAAAGTTGGCTTTCTTCACTTCAATTTGGTATTCATATTTCTTCCAATTGCATTATAAATTTTGAACTAGAACTAGTTCCACTGCTGCTGATGTAGAAAGTTCAATTTACATTTATGCCAATAACAAACATATTTCACTTGTAGAAAATTATATAATACTCTATATTATATCATGCGAGATTTAAGGTATTTTTATGTATTTTTTTAATATGAAATAAATCAGAAGCTTTTTAATCGACTCCAAACTAGTTCCAATAGTTCAAGCATATTTAGTTATAAGTTTTAATTTTAAAATCTGGAACTTGGATTGTTACATAAAACATAATTACTGATTACTAAGATTATATAACTTTGCAAAATATTTTATAGCTCTCAGAAATAGCTCAACTAGTTTTTAGGATAGAAATTTACTTATTACCAAGCCAGATGATAATGAAAATCTATATTATTTAATTTATATCTGAACTAGTGCCACTAGTTAACAAAATTTAAAAAGTTGATAATAAACCCAAATACCACAGCATATTTAAATATTACATGGCAAATGCTTATAGAGTGTCTTCTTTGTTCAGTCTGAAAAAATGCAGCTCATTTGTGGCTTAGCTTATTTGACTTATAAAAAGACACAAACTATTTCAATGCAGTGGCACAGCTGCGCCAGGTTTCAGGTATTCAGAGCAAACATCGAATTCGCATCAAAGAGCTATTCGGCTGCATTTGTCATATGTGAGTTAAATATTAAAAGCTCTCAAACAGCAATGAACTAGTTCAGCGTAGATATCTAGCTACGCATTGATGCATTTGCCATTCACATGAGAATGATATCTGGTTTAAGAAAAGAGAAAAAAAAACAATTGCCCGCATTACAGTGAAACACAGACGCACAGACGCAAGCATGCAGCCGTGCTGTCAGTGCAGGTCCAAAGACTCAGCTCGGTAAACACGCAAGACAAATTCTATCTATATGCAATCAGCAAATATGGTCGGATGCTATACATAATGCAGGCACTTTTTGCAGGCAAGTGGAAATTATGTCAAAACAAACGCAAAGGCAACAGCAACTCAAGTCATTCACTCACTGGCAAGCTGACAGACAGTTAGCCAAACAGTTAAGCAGTCAGTCAGTCAGTCAGTCAATCAGTCAGTCAGTCAGTCAGTCAGTCAGTGAGAGCGGCATTTTAATTTTAGGCATGCACAAAAGTTCAACTAATATGATATGCAGAGCGACAGAAAGAGTGCGAGTATGAGTGAGAGTACTGGGGAGAAACAGAGAGAGAGGGAGAGAGAGGGAGAGGATGGGTCGTATTTCAAATTGTTGAGAAATCGCGTCAAAGACATGAGAGCAGTTGCCATTTATCAGCGCTCAAGCAATCTGCAAAAATTTCCACGCTGCACGCTCTTTTTTTTTTTTATACCCTGAACCCATTGAAAATGGGAAATCAGGGTATAATGGTTTTGTTGAAATGTATGTAACAGGCAGAAGGAGGCGTGGCAGACCCCACAAAGTATATATATTCTTGATCAGGGCGACGAGCTGAGTCGATTTGGCCCTGTCCGTCTGTCTGTCTGTCCGTCTGTCCGTCTGTCCGTCTGTCCGTCCGTCCGTCTGTCCGTCTGTCCGTCTGTCCGTATGTTTGAACGCGTCGATTTCCGAAGATATAAGAGCTAGAGACTTGAATTTTTTTTTAAAATGACCGTATATACAGCGCGGACGTCGAGTTTGCTTTTAAAATTCGATAAATCATCCCGTTATGTTTTTATCGAGTAAAAACATTCAAGTTCAAATCNAAACATTCGTTGAATCACATCAGCTGTTAGTTTCGTTTAGTTTTGGTAGATGGCGCTGCAGCAGTGAATCTATTTGAGTTTTGCCAGCGCCACTAGCAGGAGTGGGGTGGCCTAGTGTGTTAGCTGCATGACGCTCGATCGAGAAGTCGCGGTTCGAATCCCGATCGATGCAACTGATGTTAGTTTTTTTTAATTGTTTCAAAAATTTTTATATTTTATTAAATGAGTTTGGTATTTTATTTATATTTTTAAATACATCGAAATTGAAATTTCAGCCATACTAAATGAGCATTTTTATTTGTTGGGTTCAGGGTAGTATCTAGTCGAGCACTCTCGACTAGAATTTTCTTACTTGTTTTTTTCTTTATTTTTCCTTTTTTTTTATTTTTTATTATTTATACGCCATTTACAAAATCTTATTGGGAGGAGAGGTTGGGGCATTCGGGAGCCCGTTTCACTTTGTGCAATTGCAGAGCAGCTTTTTTACATATGTCTGCTAGCATTTGTAAGGATTTGCCATGTCTTTTTTCTCTCCCCCCCCCTATCACTCTCTTCCTCTTTCACTGTCTGTATGTGTGTTTGTATTGCAAGTTGACTTCATTCAAAAAAGTTAATTCATAAATCGCACAAAGCGCAAAGATACGAAAGACGCACATGATAGCTACCCTAGAGAGAATAAGCGAGAAAGAATGAGAGAGAGAGAGAGAGCAAGTGAGAGATGTGTGCGAGAGAGCGAATAAAAAGCGCCATATGCAAAGTGCATTTAGACTGTAAGATAAAAGCTCGCTGCAGGCGTTGCAATAGGTAGCTAAGCGGGTGGTTAGCTGGTTGCTTGGCCAGGTGGTTGAGTGGTTGGGTGGTTGGCTGGTTGGCTGGTTGGCTGTTGCGACCTATTCAAATAAAAGATTTCTATCAGGTGCCTCTTATGGCGCATAAAAGTACTTAAATTTGTTTGACTTGCATTTGCCATGCGGCGGCTGTGGGACTTGACTTTGCGACTCATTATGCGAACAAAGCAGTCACGATGGCCACGAATGCCACTCACGACAGTCACGGCACGTTCAGCTAGCGTTTTTTCAAAAGATTGTCCTCCAAGAGATTTTGATGAGAGATAGCTGATAAGATCTGCATGATGCTGAGATAAAGATACAGAAGTTATGCAAACAAATTTACGAATTAAAGAACTTTATTCTCTACTCAACAATGCCAACAAATGAAATGCAGTTCTAATTTAGGGGCATAATCTATGTAGCAGCTGATCCAAGATTGCTTAAAGTAGTCCCTATCTGACAGTTACTATTCCCATGTCGATAGCTCGACGCCTCGGCCAAAGACCAAGTGCTAAACTCAATAATATTGGGCGGTACGAGCAGCACAGTGTATATAAAGAAGAAGAATGCATAGATCCACAAGCGATTGCTGTTAATTGAAATCGTCAGCATTTCGGGCTTTTCAGTTTCCCTTAGGAGCAGCTCTTTTGATTCAATCCCAAGCAGCTCGAATTCAATGCGATGTCCAGTGAAAATTTGCTGTTTTTGAGGCAGCTGTGGGCTGGCCATTTCTTGTTTTTCCACACTGATCCAGTGGACGATTTGCGTGGACTCCGTGTTTGGAACTTCCGATTGTTCAATCTCAACATATCTACCTGGCACACAGTGTCTCCTGCGCCAGCTCAGTTTCAGGCATATCAGCAATTGGCTCTGCTTGCGAGCGGCTCGCTGTACCTCCTTAACCACTCGACTTTGGCGAGGCATTCGATGCTGATTGGAAACTTTTGCTCTGTCGAACACCTCTCGGCTGGTTATCTGCTTAACGTGTTGGCTATTCAGCAGCTTGTCCAACTTTTGTGTCTTTACGATCTTTGTGTTTGGCCTAGTGCAGTGCAATCGCTCGCGATATAAACGACTCCTGAGGCCGGGCCATAAAATACGTATCACATCATCCAAGGGGTTCGCTGCCAGACTCAGCTTAACGACTTGATACAAGCATTGCGCACTAATACGTTCAAAGATTGCCGCCGATGGTATTATTTCGCCTACATCTCGTGCATTTGCTGCAGCTGCTGCTTCTTGGTCTGGCTGTGCGATTGCCTCGAAACGGGGCTCCCTGTAATTGAATATATTGATGCCCAGCTCGTCAATGTACTTGTTCTGAATGGCAATCATTTCATTCTGCGTGCTCAGCCATGTCGTCTGATCGCCAGTATTTCGCCTAAAAACCCAAGATTTGACATCCATAATCCTGCAGCACGCATTGCCCTGGCAACGGGATGCTTCCCGATTGGGAGTTGTTTTACAAGCAACGCGTTTCTATATAGAGTATATATATATATA